CATCGGCGCCTGGGACACGTCGTCCGTGACGAGCATGAGCTGGATGTTCTACGAAGCCGCCGCCTTCGACCAGAACATCAGCGCCTGGGACACGTCGTCCGTCACGGACATGACCAAGGCGTTCTTCAACTCGGGTCTTCAGGATTGCCCGTCCTGGGCCGACGAGACCGCGGAATGCCCCCATGCTAACTAGGGCGCACCTCCCTCGACGACTTCAAGCTCACTCGCCGGTCGCCTCCCCCCCCTCACCCCGCCCACACCCCTAAGACCACACCCGGAGCGTGGCGCCGTCGATGGCGGCCTCCGGGCCCGAGCGCCCGAACGCGCCGGCCTCCCGGCCGTCGGCGCACGTGCCTGAACGGTCTTCAACCCCTGATTCGCGCGCCATATCCGTCGATCGTCGCCGCGGAACCGCGTCGATTCCCCCGCAGGCACTCGCAGACTCAACCATGCACGTCATCGTCCGCGCGCTCTTGCTTCCCTGGATCGTCACCTTCGCCGCGGCGGCGGGGGTCGTCAAGCTGAACACGAAGGCCGACCCGGTCGAGGCCGTGGTCGAGGTCTTCAAGCACCTCCATCCGGCGGCCTCATCGGCCGCGCTCGCCGTCGCGAAGAACGGGGTCGCGTCGGTGCTCAAGGGCCTCGAGGCGTCCGACACGAGCACCGAGAACGTCGCGTTCGAGGACGAGAACGAGCGCCGGCGCGCCGCGGCCGAGCAGTCCGAGCGGCGCGGCGCGTGCTCCGACATCACGAGCCGCGAGGTGTGCAAGAACGCCGCGAACAAGGCCGACTGCTCCTGGAGCAAGAGCCGCGAGAAGTGCAAGAGCAAGCGCAAGAAGTGCGCCGAGGTCAAGAACAAGAAGACGTGCCACAAGAAGAAGTACGCGAACATCTGCGCGTGGAGCTTCAAGAAGGAGAAGTGCCGGAACGCCAAGTGCGAGGAGATCGACGACGAGCGCGACTGCATGTCCGAGGGCGCGCGGAAGAGGGGCTGCAAGTGGAAGAACAACCAGAAGCGCTGCATCGTCGACAAGAACGCCGGCGGCGGGGGGTCGGACAGCTTCACCGAGTCGACGTCGACGAGCGCGTTCGCGGGGGCCTCGTGCGCCGCCCAGGACCAGCAAATCGTCGCGTTGAACGCGAACATCACGAACCTCAACGCCACCAAGGATGCCGAGCTCGAGACCAGCGCCGCCGCGCTGGCGGAGGCGACCGCGGGCAAGGCCGCCGCCGAGGCCACCATCGCCACCAAGGACGTCGAGCTCGAGACCAGCGCCGCCGCGCTCGCGGACGCGATCGAGAAGCAGGAGACCTGCGAGGCCACGGTGCAATCGCTCGAGGAGGCGAACGCCTCCGGGGAGGGCTGCCCGACGCCCGCGCCGACGCCCGAGCCGACGCCCGCGCCGACGCCCGCGCCGTCGGTCTCTCCGACGCCCGCGCCGACGACGCCCGCGCCGACGACCGCGCCGACGCCCGCGCCGTCGGTCTCTCCGACGCCCGCGCCGACGACGCCCGCGCCGACGACCGCGCCGACGCCCGCGCCGA